GGGCATGGCAACTGGCACCAAGGTAGTGGAGAAAAGGGGTGGAGAGGCAGATGCAAGCGACCGAGGGGGTTTGCACAAGGCTTTCCGGGCTGCTGCAGTCCAAGGCCCCTCTTCCCCTAAATGCGTCATGGGTGGATATTGCAGCCGAGCTGCACAGGGAGGGAACTTTTTCTTCTTTGCGTGCGCCTCTGCACGTTTTTGTTTATTAATTGGCTTTCCTACATTGCCCTTTTGTGCAGCCCAGGTAACCTGCTCGGCCTCCGAAAGCCCTCTGGTCACCACCCCTCCGCTACCCTTGACCCTGGCAGCATCTTCAAAGGGAGCATGGGCCTGCTGCGGAGCGTGCAATGTTTGCTCACTCACCCAGCGAGCAGCTACCGCCTCCCTGCCTTGGGGGGTTTCATCAGCCTCCCGCAGCGCTGCAGGGGAGACCGGTCGGCCACCGCTGCTTGCACAAGGTCAGTCCCCCCGGCACAGGCATTTCCCCCGCCCCATGGCGAGCTCCCTGTCCTCGGTCAGTGACTGCTGTTCCAGTGTTATTGGGGCAACCTGTTAATTAAGTGCTTGCTCGCCTCGCAAAGGCGTTAGGTTCATTTTGCTGGCCCTTGCTAATTACGGGTAAAAGGGGCTGCATTTCCAGCCCCGTGAGTCTCTCCGGAGCCCGGGTCCCAGTGGTGGTAGGCACGACATGGTGGGTGCAAGCGGAGGCAGCTGTGCCCAGCGGTGGGCTGAGATGGAGGTGATGCACCATCAGGACATCCAGCCCATGTCTGGTCTCACTCGGGTGCGTTTCAGTTCCTTGTGTGGGACATCGCAGCCCAAAGCACTTTCCTAGATGGATCTGAAAACGGTGTATCTGAATTTGGGAATGTCTTAGCTGTTGAGCATGGGGAAGGGAGAGGTGCTTGTCCCTCCTCCCTCCCAGCTCTGTCATTGCTGGAGGCTGGGGCATTTTGGATGCGTCAGGCCTCCTCCTAGTATCTAACTGGTCACGACGAAACGGACCATTCCTCCTCCCTGTGTGATATCTCTGTTTAAAAAAAGAAATCATTCATGTCTATTTAAGAAACTTTTTTTACTGCTGGTGTGAAAGGCAAATGGGTTCCCCAGGCTAAGTGGACCAGGTCTGCATTCTGTTGGGGCTGAGATCCCAGAGGTGGCCAGCTCTCCAGCTGCAGGGTCTGCAGCGAGGGGCCACCCTTGGAGTTGGCCCCAGGGAGCTGGGAAAGA